AATTATTTTGATTGGGCAAGACGTATTTGCATTAAGCGTTATGCAAGATCGCATGATTAATTTCAATGATGGAGTTCAGACTTATGACACTATTTTTAGACAGAGAGAGTAAGTCCCCAAATTAAATAAGAAATAAAATAGGTTATGAACAATTAAATTTAGAAGTTGGCTTTCATATTTTTTATCCTATACATTTATAACAATTTACATTCAAGTTACTTTAAAACAATTTTTGGAATTAAACTTACTAAATATGGATTTACTCTTTTTAGATTATTCTACTATAATAAATCTTAGGAGATAATATAATCAATATTTCTTTAGTAAATAAATTATTAACTTACTTTGCAGCTATTGCGCAAGTAGTAGACTAACTTGATTTCTCACTAAGTGAATTTAAGATCATACAACATTATATATATACTTGTAATTTGGCCAAATATGGTATTGCTTCAAAATAAATATATTTTTTAACCATTTTGAATATGTGTTTAAATTTTGTCTTAAATGATTTTGTTTCAACTTAACTGTCTGTAGATTTAAATTTATATTAAGCCATGAAATATATGTGGGCATTGGATTACTACATATCATAAAAAAAAAGTTTAAATCTAGATAAAGATTATTTACTGAGTGATGGTTAACATCTTTTCTGTGACATGAAATTAGTTTGTAACTTTTTTCAAAATGTAAAGGGCTACAGCTGCTGCATCAAAAACATTTTTTTGCTTATACATTTCTCACACATTAGAATAAAGAAACATGCATCAACAGTGGTGGCCATCTAGCAACAGATGAGTGCTGTCTGTTGTTAGAGGCAGGCATCATATTTTGGTCATCTTGGGATTGTCTGTGATACGTTTTTAACAGTGTGCCTTGTTTATGCAATGGGTGTAAAAAAAATTTCCTTCATCCATGTTTTATGGTTAGCAAGCCTATAATGGATATTTTGCACTGGTGTTTTCTACTTTTATCCAGGCTTGTGAATGAAATAATACTTCTTTTTCTTCCCAGTATATTTAATTCCTGTATGTTTTTTCTCATTGGCATTTCTTATAATTTCTGTTTGCATACTTTCAGGCACAATCATTAATTGCTTATCAGCAAATCTGTATAAAACTCCATTTTTCGCTCAGTAGTCTTTGAAATAATAAGTTTTAGTAATCCTTAATTGCTCTTATTTCATTGTCTTTATTCTGCACTGATTTTAATTTTGGTGAAATATTCCCTAAGTTAGCATCAAGATGAACCATATACAACTGGGATGATGCTATATAGGTGAATTCCAGTAACATCAAAGTCCAGCGAGCTATGCGAGTAAATGATTCTCATTTTATCTTTTTGAATACAGAATAGTCAGTGATATTGTTAACCCTCTGACTGGCAAGACCATTTTTTATATATAGCGTATAATATTTTTGTGGCATCTTTAAGAAGGTATATATATTTCACGGAACCACAGTATTTAAGCAGCTTTTTAGCATTCGTACTAGAATTTATCTTTTAATTTCTTTAATTTTGCCACACAATGCGCAAAATTTTTTACCACATAGGTCTTTTATCATTTGTTCTTTCTACTTTACTTTAAATTATATATATATCTTGAAATATGTCCAAGAAATTAAAGTAATATATTAAAAGTGCATAAATACTGGCAGAGGCATTTTGGCCTCTGGTACTTTATACCTGTCCAATTACAACTAGGCTGCAATTTCTGAGAAACTGGGTTCTACTCTCAGTTGTTTTAGCCATTCATCTACCTGAAGTTCAACAGTTTTTACTGAAATGGCAGCCCATATGGCTGTGGAATATTGGTTCCATTTTTTTTTATTACCAAAATATTCAATTCGACATTTATTGTGTTAGTCTTATGCAACTAATTGTTTTACCTTATCCTTGAAAACATTTGGGCATTAGTTTTGATATTAACTTTAATTCCTTTAGAAGTTAACCCTTTGAATGGCAAGACTTTTTTAATATGCTTATGAAGACCTATATGAACAGCTTCTGTAAGCTGAATTTTGATAAGTGCTTACTTTAGTCTGTTTTCATAAACTTCTGTTTATTAAGATGATATTTACGTAATTAAAAAAGTAAGAAAGCAAAATATTTTATATTATAATCTTATGTATATCTACTGGCAAAAAAATCTCATGACTGTATAAAGGCAATCTTGGCATTCATGGGGTTAAACAAATTAGTAAAACAGACAAAGTTTTATTTCTTAAACACACTGAAATTTAGTTCTAATTGTAATTGCATTTTAATTAATTAGTATATCACCATGCATTAATATATTAAGTTCTACAATGATGTGATAAGACATAAAATTATCTTCTGTTACACATATATCTACATTTCATTTAAAGTCATCAATTTGAATATTCTCTTTAAAATACCTTATGGTTTTATTCTGCATTCTCCCAATTCACTTAAAGCAAAATTTAATTAACATAATTTTTCAACATTTAATTAATTGAAAACAAGTTTTTGAAAGCAAAATTGCTTAGCTACCATTGTCAGTAAGGGAATTTACATTTAAATTACTAATTACTATTTTGTTCAACTTTGGTACTCTGCTAAAAGCAGCTACTTCTGGTTTCAAATTTGTTTGGGGGGCATTTGTATAAGAAACATTTATTTCTTTTATCTTTATAGATACAAAACTGAGAAATATGGTTTCATTCACCATGAATAAAACAAATTTTATGAGTTTCAGAACTATTATCACTGTATTTTATTATATCTTCATTTTTTTAATTGAAACTATCATTGTACTATATTGTGATTTTGTTGTAGTAAGTGAATTAGCTCTAACACTGAAATCACTTCTTGTTTTCATTCTATCGAAAGTACTGTTACTCTACACAGAATTATTCTTTATTACTTCTGATACTTTAAGCTTTTCTTTGAACTCAACCAGATTCTTACATCTGCACAAAATAGTTTTGTTTTCAGGTTTATCAACTGTCTCTTTAATCACACAGTGCATTAAAATATTATCATTAGTTTTCCCATAATTCTTTCATCTTTAAAAAATATTCTTGAACGAATTCAGAATTTTCATTTTTTTTTTCACTCAAAAGTTCATGTAAATTAGCTGAATTGATTTCAAAAGAGAATTCATCAGTCAAGGCCTGTCTCAGATTTTGTCGTGAATTTTTTTCAGGTTCTGTTTGAACAAATAAGAATGTGTTTCCTGCAAGTGATCATTTAGCTAAGATGAATTTTTATAAATCTGACAGATTAAATAATTTAGAAGTATTTTCGAAATGTTCAATCCAATGAATGACATTTTGTGAGATTCTGCATTAAACTTGGAAACGATACTCTCGATAATCTCATAATTAATATTGACATTTTGAAAAATAGAATTTCCATGTAAATTATTTTTTAAGCATAATCGCACTGAATGAAAGAGTTAGACATTTTTCTTCTCATAAATATTGAAATTATATATCTGCATTGAAAATAGCATACTGCGTCTCATAAATATCATACTGCATCATTTTCATTTTGTTCATTTGATGAGTGACACAAACATGTTGTCTGTATCACACATCATTTCTGCCAGTGCTTCAGTATCACAGAAAAAAGATAAAATTCTTTGTGTTCATTCAGATTTATTTCCTTCAAAAGATATGTTTAAACTATTAAAAATTGTAATTAGTTCATTTAGGGAAAAGCTATCTTCAATATTTTTAAATTTTTTTCCTCTGAAATTCATCATATTCTAGTTCTAAATTAAATCCTGAGAAGTTTCTTATTCTCCTATTTCACAAATCACCATCACAACCAGAAATGAATTTATGCAGAATTTTAATCTGATCTGCCTTGCAATTTTTTAATGCGATGCTGATTTCTTTATTTTGTAATATGGAAAGTCTGCATACCATTTGAAACTGCTTGAGAAATACCATTGTCCAGTGGTCAATTTCCAACTATTGATCTTTTGAATCCTGTATAAAGTCATTTATCTGTCCATTCCATTTCTGAATTTTGGGCATTGAATTGCTACATCTTTATATTATACAAAAATTAAATATTTGCACAAAGATTATTTATAAAGCAGTTGTTAATAACACCTTTTCTGTAGCACAAAATTAGTTCATAACATCTTGTAAAAGGTAAGTGGTGACAATGTCTCAAAAATGTCTTTTCACTTGTGTATCCATGTTTGTCTTGCACAGTAGCGTAGAGAAGTGTGATCTGCCTCTGAATGTCATCTAGTAGCAGATGAGTGCCATCTGTTGTTAGAGGCAGCACTACGTATTAACAAGTATTTGAATTCCAATTTATTTGTGAAATCAGTTAAATATTTTAAGAAAATATATTTTGTAAATGGGATATAATTTTTATAAATTAGCTTGATCCTTTCTAAGCATTATAGTAAAATGTCTGGTTTAAAATCTGTTATCAATCACATCAAAGCTTCTTAGATTATATTGGGATCTATATCTTTAAATTTTCTGTGGGAGTAAATGTGAGTGCATGTAAAACTGCACGTTTCGACTTTTTATTTTTAGAGCAGTTTGTCAAAAAGCTAGGTTGACTGTGCTATTCAACATACTCTCTGAAGATCTATAAATAATTGGTTTACGATTTCAAGAAATTTGATATGTTTGTATCTTTTTTGTGTGTGTGTGTGCGTGTGTGTGTGTGTGGTTGTATCCAGTAAAGTATTGGTATAATAATAAAATAAATTCCAATAAAGTATTTTTGGTTATATTCAATCCACTTTATGCTTTTCTATTTGTATCTTTAAATTCTTAAAAGTGTCAGCTAAATATAAATGGACCTAAATTATTTTATATATTTCATTTATCTTCCTCTTATAAGTAATTGGTTTTTGATTATTTTTTAGACTTTTATGCCTTCATTTATTTTTTATTATGTACTTTTCCTTCATATAATATAATGATATAAGCCAATAATTAATGTAGCTATAAAATGAATAAGTAAATAAAAAAAAGTTAATATTCTTATATTTTCATTGTTAGGTACTATATCATAAGCCAAGTTTTCGTCAACCTCTTCGTCCTGGCACTTGGACTTTAAAACTTTTATACGAATGGGAACTAGTGGCAGAAACTATTTTTCTCGTTATTCCATTGTCTTTTTATAGTAATCACCAAGTATCTAGTGAACAAGTGAAATTCCTTCACAATGGACCTGGCCAACCTTACGTTGATCACGATTTCACCAATGTGGAAGCATTGTTGCAGTTTACCAACAAAAGTTCCCAGTTACGTCAAGCTCTTGCCAATTCTAGACGTTATGGTAAAGATCTTCGTGAGTGGACAGATTCATTAGTGGCTGCTTTTTGGAGTGTTCAAGATACTTGTTTTATCAATCAGCCTCAACATCCTACAGGAGGTACTTTGTGCTTAGATATAGATTTAGATCCATGTCATTTAACAAATTGGAGCTCTCATTCAGCAGATCCAAAGTCTGCCATCAGAGACTTTAATCCAAATAGTAAAATTACATGACATCAGTGTTATCAAAATTGTTCATGTATAGCCATTTGAGTCAGTCTTGCAAAGAATTTTATCATTTGAATCTCTACCGAGTTCTTTTATTATTATTATGTAGTATTTTGGATTAAAGTGGCAATTTTACTTTGATTTTGTTTAATGCATATAAAAGGCTTGTAATAGGAGAGTTCTGAATATAAAAAAAGTCGGTGCTTGATTTGAATATGAAATATGGATTGCTGTTTTAAAAAATGTTGTACTAGTATAATTTTCTAAGTTGAATTTTTCTTCCTTGAAAATAAACATGTAATAGAGAGTGTTGTAAATCTCTTATTTTTTACACAAATGTGAAAAAAATATCCTATTCGTATAAAGAGAATATTTCATGCCTAGTCACTTATGTCCAGATATTAATGAAAAGTAAATAGATGGATCAAATAGAAATTTGGTCAGGCCTTTTAGTTGGGCAAAATGTGAATTCTAATGATAAACTTAATCAGCAAGTATTGTGCTATGACATTAGCCAAGAAAGCTCTTAATGTATGTAATGTTGTTATGTAAACATTGTTGAGTCTTGGATGTTTTTCCTCATTTCTTTTTGTTTATTTTAGATTGTATGTTTACTGTCTCTTAAAAAAAATGATATTTGTATAGTTGATTTAATTTTAATCATTAGAATTGGATGTAATAACAAATTCAGAATTTATTTTATAAATAGCTGAAAATTCATTAAATATCTTAAATCTGAAAATCGGTTATTGTAATTTGTAATTCCAGATGAAAAACAATAGATAGAACAGTGTTAAGATTTATGTTTAGTGCAGTTATTCATAAAGAAGGTAGACATTTTAAATGCAGACTGTTTAATTAGTGTATTTGAATTATTCATGGAAAAATTGTTTGAATGCATAGTTTTGTATATTTTATTTTTATTTGAAATCCAGTCTGTTCATCATTCATTAATTGAGTAATAAAATTCATAGATAGGAATATTATAAACAAGTTCTTACCTGAGATTAAGACAATGATTCTAATCTGACTTTTCAGACAAGAATTTTTTATTTGAGATATTTGTCTTCATACTGTCCCAAACAAATTTATAGAAATTATGTTATGCATGTACAAATTTTCAATGTGCCATATTATTATTATAAGCAATTTTATTTCTATATCTGTGATAGAAGACACTACAATGTGTGTTATTGAATCCTTTAGATACTCCTCATCATGAAACATTGGTATAAAATCAGGATCTCATCATTAAGTAGTTGATGAATCGAGTAGTAAAACATTTTCAATGAAAATAAAAATATTGTGAATTCCCATTGCACCACGGTTATTTATCTCTAAAGATATATTTTAACGTAATTATGTTTCTTGGAGAAATAATACAGTATGATTTATTTTATCCCGATTAATAAATAAACAGTGTTCAGTTTATTAGATGCAAGAACTAAGGAAGTATTCAGTATCTCTTATATCATTTGCTGTGCTCAATTTAACCATATTTTGCTTAAATATATACATATATGCTGAGTTTTCTTATGCTATTAAAAAACAGATGATGGAGATTTCTTCAGAATATTTCTGGCTGATATCGTAGGTCTTCAAATATGACATTACAGTGCATTGGAAAGAATCGGTCTTAATGACTCCATCATCTGCCAGTTTTTAATTGGATCAAAAAATGGCTTTCATTTAAAGTTAAAAAAGTAGTTTATTAACCTTAAAAGATAATCTAATATTTAATAGCGGTAACTGCAGATGTAACTTACATAAAGTATGAGGAAAGAATAAGCAGAAGCTCGGCGACAAATCTTTTGGATTGCATATTAGCTTATTTACTAAATCAGCTGTGATCGAGTTGAATGATTTCAGAGATTGTTCGTACTACCATACACGTTACATATTTTTTTATCTTTTCTGTTGTCTTAATGCTAATTATGATTGCTGAATATGTTTATTATATACTTTAGGGAAAATCTATGAATCTAATAAAATGAATTACTATTCATAATAATTCATAATCAGCATATATGTATATTATAACAATAATAATAATTATTGTTATAATTTGGTACATCCAAAAAGTTTTTCAAATAATGAATTTATTTCGGTATTGGAATTGTTTATGCTTGCTTATGTAATTGATAAAATGGAAGTAGAGTAACTGAGCTTTCTCAATGCCTAGAAATTAGATTATGCAAATCATTAAAATTAGTAGAAATTTCTAACAACAGGCTTCTTCTTCAACAGGCTTTAATTTTATTTTATTTATTTATTTATTATTATTATTTTTTTTTTTTTTGTGTGGTGTGTGTGTGTATGTGTGTGTAGAATTTCTTTTTTTAAAAAGTGTTCTAAATATTTCAAACACATTTTGTTACTTCAGTAACAACATTCGTTTAAACCTGCTGTAATGAGAGTTCACTATAATGAGTGTGATGATTATTTTATGCATTTAGCATCAAGTTGATGCATAGTCGTTTGTAACTGTAACATATTTTTTCTTCTATTTATATAAAATATGTATATACATATATATGTAATATCCTGAATAGAAAATGCTTTAGATGATGCATATAAAATTTATAACAGTTTAAAATTTTAAGAAAATTTTAATGCAACATGTGCTGCTGTAAAAAAACTTAAAAGCTGATATTAGATTTATAATTTTAAAATTACATTAATAATGTCACATACTATAATGTTAAAGAAGTTTAAAAATTATAAACAGAAAGAATCAGATGTAATTTTGTATTTCCTAATATTTGAAGTTTGTAGTAAAAGAGGAACATATCATTAATTTGTATTCATGATGAAGATGCTAATGCTCGCTTTGCAGCATTTCCATTTACTCATATCATGGATCTCAATATTAGTAAATAATAAGCCAAATGTTACAAAATATTATGCTCAGCAAAATTCTGTGGATCAGGTATGTCATCTGTAGATAATCATGCTTCTTAAATCATTATATTTCATTGAAACAACTGTGGACTTAATCAGTATTGTTGTAAAAATAATTGTAATGAAAATTTAGGAATTCCATTTAATGAAATTTTTTTTCTCATATTCCAAAATTGGTAGAATCTCATAATACACATATCTGATATATTTAGGTAATCATGTAAAATAAATTTAATATATATTAAAATTGTGGCATATTTTCCTAATATGATGCATTGTCATGAATTTATGCTTCAAAACTATTGAATGTAAATATAAGAATTATTAACTACTCCACCTTCAAAGCTATTGGATTTTAATAAGTCATTTTCTAGAACATGTACGTATTTGTATGTATTTTGATTTCAAATAAATAGAATTTTGCATAAAATTCTATCAGCTTTTGTACTTTCAATTTTTCTTATACATACTCAATTGTGACTGTAACAATTGTAATAGTGCAAACAATAAAATGATATTTTTATTTGCATTATAATTTCAGAACAATCTTTTTCTTGAAAAGTATTACACTATCACTACAAAATATCTTAAAGCACAAAAAAAGCGTGGAAAAGTCTGTGTAATTATTTCTTATTTCAAATGTGCGACCATGGTTGCTGAAAGAGCATATAAATATAACGTTAGTCATGGTAAAATTTTATAACAATTCTCTGTCTCTCATAGCTTGGCAGATGCATTTCATTCTTTTCAAATATTGGTTCAAAGTGCCTTTTATTTTTAAAAATTCTTTTGTACATAGTATTTTAAGCAATAAGAATGATTTACTCAACTATTATGGTAGATACCCAACCATTAAAAAGCTAAGGCATAGTTTTCCTTTCATTACATGTTATTCAGTTGAAGTAGCTTTAACATTTTTTGTCAGAGATCATAAGGCACTGAATAGGTTAAAAAAAAAAAAAAAGAGAGAGAGAGAGAGAAGAAAGAAGAAAAATGTAAATTCTGAATTTACTGGCATATGCAGTATAATTCTTTTATTTCTGGAATGCTAAAATAATTGGATTTCATTCAAAAATATTTTTTTAAGTTCTTAATTTATGAACAATTGTGTTTTCTCTCTCTCATTTTTTTTCTTAAGAGTTTTTTAACTCTTCCATTTGTCTCCTTTTACTCTCCTTGTAATGGAGTTATAGCAGCAAAGTAGGATAAATTACTGGGATTTTGTCTTACTTACAAAGAACAGCTTCAGTCTGTGGTTTTTGTTATTTTATTAGAAAATTTGTAGCATTAGTTTGTTTTTATTGTTGATAGAAGAATCCTTTTGAGATTTTTTTGATCAACTCTCAAACTTTTTTTTACTTTAATCTTTTCACAATGATATAATTTTCGTACAAAGATATAAAATCAAATTTTATAGTTTGTAGTATATAATGTATATACATACTCCTAATTATAATATATAAATTTTTTGTAAAAAGTATTTAGATCTTTTTGCATAATTTAGTTAGATAACTGTAACAGTTAAGTAATACAATGAAACTTTCATCCTGACCAGTGTTTCTTACAATATAAATAATCATAGGTAATTATCATTATATTGAAAATTATAATGTTACTTTCTTAGACAGTTACTCAATTGAGATTACTAAAATGTCTGATTTCAGTATCAAATTACAATATTTTGCATGCTGAGATATCAAGAAAACTGTGACATCTTGAATTTTTATTTTAAAAGCAAAACTATTTTTATTAAAAAAATATATCCTTTTTTTCAGTGTGATGATTACATAAGGCTTCATTTGTATTTATGACACATCATTTAATTAATGGCTCATGACATTATAATATGGTTTATCTCTACATGTATATTTTTATTTTTTTATGTGCAACTAGTAAATGCATAACAAATCATACTTTAGTAGTGTCTGTGCCACTTTTATGTTGGTTTACTAGTTGTATTATCATTAAATTTGTTGTTATTAATTTATTAGTTACTCTAGTATCAAACAAGTCTTTGGTTCTTGGAATTATCATTTTAATATCAGACTTTTAATGGGTACACTGATGGCATACTACTCAATGCATGAAATTTTGATGAACTAATCAAGAATACTTCTTTGGCAGAAATAATCAAGTACATAAAAAACTTATTTTAAGAAAATTGGTTTTAGTTATAGCTTGCATGAACCTGGAACTAAAACTGATAAATGTGGTTGATTGAAAGTGAAATAATAGTGCTAGGTATTGACAACCTGAATGTCAAAGAATTACAAAGAACTTTAAGATGATAGAAATCACATTAGAAACTATTAAAAAAACTACTAGAAAAAGATTTCAGAGATGACAATCAATGTCTAAAGAAGACAAAGATGCAAAAATGATATATATAGCATATGATGAAGTAAAATAATTTTGAGTAGAGTGATTTTGAGAGGTCACCAAGGGAAAACATACGTTTGTATCCCAAATGAATTCCAAAAACCTTAGGTATGTGCGGCTAATTCTTTTAAATGAAGCTGTAAATTATATAAACAACTTAAAGCAGTTAGATTAAAAATCTATGAAAAAATTAAGAAGACTGATTTACTTTTTCAAAATCATTAACACTAGCTATGTTTGTTATTTGTTTCTATCATCATCTTTGTTGAAACAACTGCAAATTAATATTTCTTCACTGTATGGATATAACAATACATGATTTTCAAGTTGCTGAATAAAATTTGTAAGTTTTTTTAAAAATATTTTCTGTATGCATAAAATCTGTTTCCTGTATTTAAAAACGTTATTCAAATAAGTAAATATTAACCCTCTGGGTGTAATATTTATTTGAAAATTTTTTTTTGCACTTTGAGCATATTTCATTGTGTGGGCAGTAGAGGCAGAGAGTAATTAAGAACAGTAACTTTACGCAAGAATTAATTTATTTCGTATTAGTCATTATATATACTTCTACATAATATTGAAATAATGTTAGGCAGTTAGTATTATAAAATACTTTTAAACAAATAAACTCTGGTTATAATAAATAGCAAATTATCAATAATTTTGAAGTGAGTGATACTTTTCAAAACATGTTGGGAAATACACAGTATTTTGCATTCTTTGCGCAGCCAGGTAGTATCCTTCTTAATCTGGTGTTGATGTCTCAGATCATCATGTACATCTTTGCCCAAACAAATGCGACAGATGTATCAGAATGTCATGCGTCTTTACCCAAACAAATGCATAACATACTGATACATCAAATGTAGCCAAAGGGTTAACTAACCTTTTCCTAAAATTGCTTTCTTTCTGCACTATTTACAACAGATCTTTAACTATAATTATATTAATATGATATTAAGCATTTCTATTTCAATATTTATCTTGAGCAGATGCTAAGAGACTTGAATAGATCATAACCATTAAGCAATTGACATAGTTGCTATCTTTGAAATCTTAAAAACGAGGAGGTTTTTCACAGTGCATGGTGAAACCATTTCAAAGGAAGTCCAAACCGATTTTAATTCACTTTATAGTGCATGGCTCAGGTTATTGAAGTATTTGTAATTTAGTTGCAATGCAAAATATGTTCTAAATTTTAAGTTCTTTGGATAATTTCATTTTTCAATTTTCTTATAAAGTCTTTAATCCGAATCTCAAAGCTACAAACTTTTTGCGCATGCGTAAACGCATACGTATGCATATAATACGTTTACGCATGTGCGTTTAATGTATAACGGACGATATAAGCCAGGCTAAAATTATCTATTTCAGTTAATGTTGCAGATTGTCTTGTTCCTTAATCTTCTAATTGGATCCGGTTTATTATTTTTTGCAGACTGTAAGAGCAATTTTGTAAAAAGTAAGCTTTAACTTTCGATTATGTCAAAAAGAGTGTCTGATTCTGGAGCTGCCAAAGGATCTACAAAGCGAAAACATGTTTCGATGTCCATCAAACAAAAAGTGGAATTGCTGCAAAAAATGGATAAAGGCATGAAGAAAGTGACAGAGAGGTGAACGAAAACGAAAAACTTTTGATTGACAAGTTAGGCGGTATTCTCTGCACAGCAATTACACGACTTGAACAGTGGAACTTTGTAACTGAACAAGAAATTATGTCTGTTTATAGAATTAAAGAGAAAGTATTAGCACAAAAAACGAAGCAACTTAAACAACTTACTTTGAAAGAAATGTTTAATAAAGTAAACAAATATTAAGCTTTTTTTTTTTTTTTTTTTTTTGTAAATTTGTATATCCTTTAGATCATAATTGCTCTTTATTTCATAAATTATGTTTCATATTTTTAATTTTATAATTTCTGCATGCCATCTTACCAGATTTAAATTGATGATCCAGATAAAACCCTAATCCGGAATCGCCGAAGTCCTGACGAGTCCGGATTAAAAACTTTGTACTGCAGTTATATATATATATATATATAATAACATATGAATCCTACACCTAGCCTGCAATTCCAATGCAAGAATTTTTAAGTTTGTAAAAGAAATAGTGACAGATAGACCAATCCCCTTACAAGCACTAGCTAATACTAGTAGTGGAAAAGTATATAAATTGAGATGCAAAAATTGCAAATAAACATTATAGCAAAGAAAATTACCGAAAAATTAACAATTGAAAAGATACGATAGATACAAGATAAAAATATGAAAGCAAATTACAAATTAAAATTTTTCAATAACCTTTTAACAGTTCATTTTGTGAAACAGGCCTGAATAATGGCTGCTAATGTTTATTGAAATGAAAGGAATATTTAATCTGTCATGGCTGCCAAATTTGCTCTTCATTATGTATCAACATTCTATGCCATCAATATTTCTATATATTATATCAATATCTGTGTGTGTGTAGATTATGTATTAATGAAATAATTTTTCTGAATAAAGGAATAATAAGGTAAAAGCCCAGTCAGAAACTATTTATGTCTGAGTACACTTTTTATGAACAGAAATGGAAGTAAAGTTTTGAGAATATTTTTAGGATCTTTCAAAAGTAATTGATTTCTAAGCAAACAAGAAAGTAATTTTATATATATAAAATTACTTTCTTTATCCTGCTTCAAACATTTTTGTTTGCTTAAATATGTGTCTTATTTTAAGTTTATTCTCTACTTCCGTTTTGCTGTATTCTGTTTTGATACGTGCACTTTTGAAAGAAGTATTTATTTTTCAAGGCAGAACATAGAACTCAGTTTGTTGACATTCTGGGTCTTTTTTTAATTACGTCTGAATAAGTGCTACATCTAATAATGCAACATGCTTTTTATCATTTACATAAACTAAGAAATGCAGCTTCATGTTTATACTTAAACATGTAATATAAGCTATTATACTTGCAGCAATATTTCGCTTTATAAATGTTTATTTTGTTATACAATGTATGCATTATACATATAAATTAAGGAAGCTTTTCTTAATTTTTCCGATTGTGCCCAAAGATTTCAGTGTGTTTACTATACAATGATAATTTAAGATTTAATTTATTATGTGTGTATGTTAGTTCATTAAACATTAATTTTTGTTTTTAATATAAAAA